ACATGGCTCTTCTACCTTACTAGGACTCTATACGCATCGGCTACAAAAGGAAAAGAACCCTACTGGACTTACACATACACGAGACATAATTGGGCCCAAAGATAATGAGCACAAACCCGCTAACAGTAGCATATCATCATCACACTGCTCAACGCTACGGTGACCAACCAGCAGACGTGCGTCGACGGGTTGGTGCAGAGCAGTGACTCGGTGGTGGTCGGGATGCCGGCGTTGGGTTTGTCGCCGATGGTGAATGCGACACAGTTGTACAGCTCGCCATTTGTAATTCTAATAATGTTTTTGTGAAACTGAGTTGGAAATTATAAGAGATTAAATTTTATTTTATTTATTATTTTTTAATTGTCATGTCACTCAGTTAATGGTCAACTTTGAGAGTTGACTTTCACATCAGGCAAAGTTAATAGAGTTGGACGGAGAGTGACCAAATTTTAAATGTGTAACAAATCTTAGTGATCACGAATAGAATTAAATATTTTTAGTAATCAAACATGAAATTTTTTAGTAAACCCAGTGACAATGAACAACCTTACCATTAACCCTATGAATTGTATCGCAAACAAACCCAAGCTGAATTGTATAAGAGGTTTTTTTCTATGTACATCGGTCAGACCATCTCTCACGCTGGTTGATTTACAGTTGGGGTTAGATATTGTGTTATTGGTTGGGCCTCTGATTTGGGCGTTGTGTCCATGTCTAATTGTCTTATTTGGGCCTTTGAAACATGTTTTCTAGACATTTGTTGTAAACATGGACACATGGTTGGATGAGGATCTGTACGCTGGCCTAGGCCCATTTGCTTAACTTAATGAATCACTTTGAAAAATAGTAGGCCAAGCGGTCTCAAAGTAGTTCAATCCTGATTTCATGAGTAAAATTTCAAACAACTTTTTGTTTTTTTGTTTTTGTTTTTTTTTTTTTTTTTTTTTTTTGCCATAGACAGATAATCATTGACAGAAGTTAGGGATGGTTAAAAAATAAAATGCAGTAGCATTTCGAGCTACCAAATTAATAATTTAAATAGATTTAATAAACTTACTTTTTCATCAGTTACGTTGGCCAATGAAAATCCAAAGGACAACGAATGTGGCTAAAAATAATTATTTTTTAAATAAGGATGATATAAATTAGTTTTCACTATTTACAAAATAAATAAAGGAAACATATGAATTGAATTTTTCTCTCTCTTTTTTTTAATAAGAGGATTTTTCTCATTTTGAATTTGTTGCTTTCACATTAATTCTCGGAAGGGCCTTGTAGTCATTTCCACTAACACAATTAATCGGCACGGTGCGTTTGAATTGCCAAACTTAACTGTCGCTCCCGCACACGGGCCCTGGACCGAAATAAGATATCCATTTGGGCTTTTTTTTATTTTTCTAACTTCCGGCTGACAACAAACTCTACCGGCATAAAATCCAAACTATACCGCCAACCCGGGGATGGCAAGAAAATCCGAACCCACGGGTACCCTACTCGACTCAACTCGGTCAACACGGTAAAATCCGTATTGACGGATTTTGGGCCGGGTTCGGATTTAAACTTGTTCACTATCTATCATGTTGGGTTCGCCCCATGGATATCCGCCCACACCCATATGATTAATTTTCCTGAGGATTAATATTCTAATCAACTAATTTTCTTAATGTTTGTGGAGACATGTCTAATTTTTTTCTTTCTAATTGTGTAGAATGAAGTTGATATTATCGAGTGGAGAGTGAAGAAGCTTAATTGACAACGAGAAAGAAGCTTTCAATTAATCATGTTATTTACGGATAATTTGTGATTTGCTTCAATTTTCATGAGTTTTCCAGATTGGCGTTGAATCATTTGTATGGTTAATTTGTGATTTGCTTGAATTTTCTAGAATGATGTTTTATATATGGATAATTTGTAGTGAGATATTGATTTTTTATTTTTATTTTGATAGAAACTTGTTATTGTAAATTTTTTACGACAAAAATCTATGTGTACTCATGAACTCGCCGACGATACCCAGCTGGTTGGATTGGGTTGGGTTTGAGTTTTCCAACCCCTATAGATTTTACCCCGAATTTATTTCATGAATAAACCCAGGGGTTTGTGTTTGGCAAAACCCAACCCAACCCGACCTATTTCAATCCCTACCCCACACCTATCTAATCTCTTTTGTCTCCCTTTGATCTTATAATAATGATTAAAATTAGTAAATAGGCTGCAAATATAGTTACATGAAAATATTAAGTAAGTAAGCTGAAGTATAATTATATGTCTATAATATATATCAAATATGTAAAGAAAAATTAAGGTTAATTTTAGATAAAAATACATACGTGCATAATTGGGAGGCTTCAGGTTCACTATTGACAAAACCATGCCTACTCATTATCGGCAATATTAAAATTTAGATTTTATTCATATCCAATGAATATCCCTTCATGTTCAAGTTTTACCCTACCCAACTAATTAGATTCCATAGGTATCCACAGTTGTGGATATTTCTAAGTCAAATTGAGACTTTGATGTGTTTTGGAAATACTGAATATTGTGATGGAGAAGAGATAAAAGAGAGGGAACTAAATTAATTTTATTTATATATTGGGTAGTGTAGAGAGATTGAAAAAGATTATTGAGAAACGAGGTGGTGGATCCTCTAATGATGATAATCAATCTATTCGAAATTATGTAACTGTCAAAAGTTCACATACAAAAGTGAAAATTTAATTACTGGAAAATGTAAGGATTTCATGTTTAATTATTTTTAAAATTTATGTAATATGTTCACCAAATGTAGGTTTAACCTCCCCAAAAATTTGGTTTCACCTAATTTGAGAATTGTTACTGATTTGAATTGATTCAATTACAAAATATTACTCGAGTTTGTACTGATAAAAGTTAGTAATAGGATATTTTTGTTGAAAGCGTGGTCCAACCGTTTCATACTACTAAAATTATCTACATGCTTAGGCTCTTATAGTCTTTTTTTTGCCCCAACCATCGATTCGATACAAGTTTGATATTACTTATCAAATTTATAAATGTTGTAATCAGATAACCAAACTTTCATATCAAAGAAATCGTTACTAAACAAAGTTTTTGTTTTATGGTTTCACTTTCAAAAGTCTAAAAATTTCTCAGCTAAACATGATTTTTTTAGTGAAATTGTAGTTTCCTTTCGTTCATGTTTTGTTTTACATTGTCGAGGAAAAAAACATAATTGTTACTGAACGAAGCCTCTTTCTTTGTTACCGAGTTTCATCATCCCTTTCTCTTGATACCCATAAATACATTCCTTTCGTCTTCCCTTCTCCTTCCACCGAATTTGAGTAGGGATGTCAATCCAACCCGTAACCATGGGTACCCTACCCGACCGTAACCGGTCAACGAGGGTAATTACCCGCTTTGACGGGTAAAGGGGCGGGTACGGGTAATACCCGGTTTCAAAATAAAGGGTAGGGTACGGGTATGGTAATCGATAATACCCGCTCCGTTATACCCGCCCCGCTAACCAAAGGGTCAATTTCCCTTGAGAAATTTAGATTAGCTTGAAAAATTGAGTTTAGCTACCATTATTGATGATGAAGATGTAGACGATTATTATGTTTGTGTGGATTGTAGAAGCAAGAACAATTATTATGTGTTTGCTATTTTTATTTGTGTGGATTGTTGAAGCTCAAATAGTTACAAGTATTGAGAATTTTTTTTTTATAAAGAAGTATTGAGAATTTTTAATGGACAACAGTATGTATGTGCATATATGTGTATAAGTTCATAGTTTAGGGTTCGTACCCATGGTTACCCGAATACCCGTGGTTACCCGGTGGGTAGGGTATGGTTATATAATTTTCATACCCGGTGGTTATTTGGTCGGGTATTTTAGAAAGCTCTACCCGGCGGGTTTGGAGTTGGTATAGGGTAAACCCGCACCCGACCCTACCCATTGCCATCCCTAAATTTGAGTCACCTAGTGATATCTTCCCCTTCTTCATAATCTACCAGATTCTTTATAGAATGAAGTTCCTTTTATCGTTCGGTCAAAATCGTCTTTCCAATTCCTAGATTCATTCAACTTTTTATATAATAATTTAAATAGAATTATGGGGGTGAGGCACATAGTAAACCTCAATTTGGATTGCAGGCTGCAACTCGCCTGCATGAACCTGGAATCGCTAGAAATTTGGATATGAATCTTTGGTGCTGGGAGGAGTTTAGTTCCTTTACCTGTGGTGGGAAAATTTGCAACAATTTTTGTTGAATATGTTATCCAACTTTTCTCTTTACGCAAGATTTCAAAAATCTGTCTCTTTCGGTTATCGTGGAATCAGAAGAACTTGGTGTATTGAGATTTCAAATTGTTGAACTACTTGATTTATCTCCCTAACCTCTTTTGTGCTTATTAAGTTAATTTGGAACTTAACGAGGCAAATCATCAATTTAGGGACTAGCAATTTAGGTTATTCATTTATGACTATCGATCTGCCACCTGCCCTTTCAAATCATACAATTTCATATCGATAACATGTGTCGTGATTAACAAAGATGATAAATACGGAAAACATTTTCATGGATTTACAATTTCATGGATATATTGGACTATATCAAAGATCAATCATACACACTTTCTCTATAAACATTGTGAATCACTATCAGTTGTATATCTTTCCTAATTACACGCATTATAAGTAGTAGCAACACATACAAAACAGATAATAATCAAACTCATCCGACTAATGGGCCGGACCCGGTGCTAATTAAGTTCTAGATTTAAAACTAGTAATTTTATCGCTAGACAAAATTCTAGTTGAACCGTTTTCACTTTCCAAACTGTGATGTGATCATTAAACTTTAAACCGGGATTAATTATTTAAACTGGTTTAAGAGTCTTCACTTGAATCACTTCAGTCGGCAATGGAAAATCCAAAAAGGCCACTGCCAATCCCTTAAACGCCCACAGAAGAGCTACAGAGTAACAAAATGGAAAAAGATGAGAAACGTTGAAAAGTTCATTTAAAAGAGTGAAAAAACGGATGTTTGCGGCCATTGAAACCCTCTTCACAAATGGAGCGACAAATCAAGGTTTTGATCCTTATTATCAATCTTCTTCTTGGCACTCGAATTGCCACTGATAGCGATTGGCAGATGACGCAATTGATCCTCCTTGAACTCGTAATTACTCTCCTCGCTGCTGCACCTTGTGCTCCTCTGCCAATTCGCGAAGCTCTGTTCGTCTTCCTCCTGCTGCTGCTGCTGCTGCTGACGGTGCAGCCTCCCGCCGTAAAGCACCATGCCGTCGAACCTTGGCCCGCCCCCATTTGCTCCGAAACGGCCCGCGAATTGGCGATGGTGGTGGTGGGCGGCGGCGGTGGTCGTAGGACAGCACTGCAGGCTGGCTGCATGCGCAGTTATGTAGAGGGAATTTGGTTGATGCAGCATCGGAACTCCCAGGTGGTGGGCTGCCGGAGAGAAAACCAAAGGCGGGGACGCCGCGGCGGCGGCGTATTCCGATGATGCTCTTTTGGCCTTCCTGGCTGCGTTCCTCTCCTTCTTGTGAGCGTTTTGGTGGCCGCCCAGAGCCTGAGAGCTGTAGAATTTTCTTGAACAGAAGAGACAGGGGAAGACTCTGGCTGCCGCTGCTGCTGCTTCCTCCTCTGCATTAGTCCTCTTGTCTAGCTCAGTTTCCATATGTGGAACGAATTATGGGAATTTGGGATTGGGAAAGACAAGAGTTTAGAGTAGTGAAATAAAAAGGAGCAGAGAGAAGTGGTGTCTAGTAATAAAGAGGAAGGAGGGAGTGGAAAAGACAAGAGTTTAGAGGAGGAGTTGGAAAATGTGAAGAAGAGCTTTTTGGGTTTTTTCCCCCTCTTCCCTCCCCCACCCTTCAACTGTGGACTGTGGTAATTGAATGATATGAGAGACAAGGTGCTGTATGGGCTTGGGAACAGGAGATAAGAGAAAGATGGAAGACAGAGGCAGAGGCAGAGGCAGAGAGAAAGACAGAGTAGGTTGATGCATGGTGAGATAGAGAGGGAGTTATTGGTGGGAAGGAATGGCGAGTGATGCCACCAGTCCAGTATTCATTCAGCAAAGCCATACAGTGTCTCTCTCTCTGTCTGTCTCTGACAAAGTTAAGCTAATTAAAGATGCTAATCATCTAGTTTAAGTGTGGCTTGATTAATGAGGTTCGTCAGGTCCCCACTCTGAACTCGAGATAGAAATGGCAGAGGTCAGAGATCCATTAACTAAAACCTCAAACTGGGGGGTGGAAATGGGTGCTGCTTGCTGCACTAACCAATGATATGATGAAGTGCTGCATTCAATGGAAGATAAAAAAGAAAGGTGCCTTTTTCTCACTTTGGAAAACCCAACAGGAAGATGCCCCCAGAGAGCTAGTGGGAGGGAGAATGGAAGATGAGGTCCAGTGGGAAGTTAAAAGGGCTGGCTATTTGGTCCCGGACTGTTTGGTTTTACCCGAAATCGGACCGTATAATCTGGATCGGGACCGGACTGGGACCGGATAGCAAACAATCCAATCTCATATTCGGGTTTAGATTTGAGGTAAAAAAACCCGGATAAAGACCGGATAAGAGACCCCAACACCTAAAATCAAGATCAAATTGGGACCGAACCGGGTCAAGACCGGACTGTATCCAATCCAATCTTTGGTCCTTATATTCCCGAAAAAACCAGACTAGGACCGGATCAACTTGGTCCAATTTAACCGGACCGAACCGGACCGTATAGCCACCCTAGGAAGTTTGGGTTGGATGACTTTAGAAAGCTAAGCTAGAAGAGAGGGAAACCCAAATGCAGTCTCCACTTGCTTCTGGTTATGGAACTCACCGGCTGTGGTGTGGGTCTTTTATTGTTGTTTGTGTTCAGTTCAGCCCCTCTGCTGCTTATTTCTGACTCGGACCATGCAACTGGCTGCTGCCTCTCCTTGATGCTCTCTCTCTCTCTCTAATCTGATATCTACTTTCAAACACCAAAGATGGCAATGTGTCAGTTTGGAGTGGATTTTTGTTAAACTATCTTCACCAATTCTCAAATATCCAAACCCGTACCCACTCTACACCAAAGTGAGTGAGATTTTGCAATCTCATTTCCATTCCCACGGTTTTTGGGTAAACCCGTTATAATACTTGTCCCGTATTTCCAATATTACTATACATAGAATTCAACATGTGAATCTTCAATTATAAGACTAAACGGACCTAATAAATCACGAAATCAACGAAGATACAATCAATCTCAAAACAAAATTAAAGCATCCAATCCTAAAATATCCAGAAGACAAATTATATCTCAACTCTTCAATTACACTTCCCGTCATTGAGATATTGACATATGATCTCTACATTTATAATATAAAAAAAATTGATTCGACAAATATATGTATGGGTATGGAACCGGAACCGGAACTAAAATCCAAACCCGCTATCTCCATCAAACATTTAACTGGTTTATTCATACTCCGTCAATATGCAAATTCGCACCTTAACTTTATCGGGAAGGTCGAATACCCACATCTACGAATTTGATTGTCATCCCTACCCAGCATCCTTACTTCTTTGTCCCCAATTCCTAGCTACATATTTTTCTTTGTTATTTTCTACTCTTTGCAACAGTTATGGCAATGAGGCTGAACAGTCATTGGTGGCTCATTCTCCACCGCCAATTTCCATGCAATTTCTCGCTTTTCACGCCCCAAACTGAAGAATTCCTGACACCTCCGTTTCTTGGTTCATCAACATGTGGCAAGTGAAGGCATGGGTTCCCTTTGAATTCGTTTGGTTTAAATTTTGGTATTATTAATGCCCTGACCAATAGGGGTGGCTTTACGGTCCAGTCCGATTAAATTGATCTGAATTGATCCAATTTCAGTTCGGCAAGGTTGTCAACCCGCGGGTCGACCCACTTTGAGCCTGACCCGGTGAGAAAAACGGGCCGCACACACCCGTCGGGCCGACCGCTACAAGGTACCGGGTTGGAGGTCAAATTGTGTCCTTTTTTTCTTTGGTTTGCGAAATGCGTCTATTTTCCGATTTTTCTTTTCGCCTAGCTCAATTTTTGGAATGCTAAGTTGAACATTTGAATATTTATGTTATATAAGTGTGTGTGAATTTTCACTATATGTTGGATCTATATATGATATGTTATTTTGGTGTAATATTATATGTTATAACACATATGTTAGATAAGATTTGATATAATTTATGAGGATAAGTACAATATAATGACTTTTTCCATATTTCCGGGCCAAACCGGGCTAAAATGGTTGACCCATTAACCCTTGACCCACTAGCTCGACCAGGTCCGGGTCAACCCGCGGGTTGACATCCTTGCAGTTCGGTCTTTTCGGGAATATATGGACCAAAGATTTGATTTGATACAGTCTGATCCCATTTCGATCTTGAGTGTAGATAGAACTTGGAAGGATTTGAGTGGCCTAAAGACTCAAATGGTGAAAAATTAGTTAAGTTTTGGGTGTTGGGCACTCTTATCTGGTCTTTATCCTGTTTTCGATCCGGTGCCAAACGATTTTTTATCTTAAATCTAAACCCGAAAATTGAATTGAATTGTTTACTATCCAATTCCAGTTCTAGTTATACAGTCCAGTTTCGGATAAAACCAAATAGCCCGAACCAAATAACCAGCCCTGACCAATTTCACTTCGGTCGAGGCAGAATGGTCCATTCTCACAAACAAGAAACATCATCGGTCTTTCACTTCATTAATTAATTTAGTTGGGGATAAATACACAGTGTAGCAGCTATGGATTTGTGATCCGCCCTTGTATTACAAGAACTTTCCGTCAGCCCAGGTATATAATGCTAGATGTGAATGATTATCACACACGGTATGTTTCAAATCAAACAGCAACGGCGCCTGCATAAATGTTGATGACGATCCAACCAGCGGGCGTTTCACGAACAACCGAAGCATCTACCAAAGGAGAATACGCTAGATGGCTCTGCAACTCGGTCAGGCTCGCCCTTCTTTTTCCGGGGAAGATGCTTCAAGAACGCTCTCACTGCTCCATCCACTCCATCTTCATTCTCCATGGCCTTGGCTAGCTCCACTGCCCTCTCCTTAACCTGGAACAAAACAATGCTATCTTCACAAGTTAAACTCTCCCTCCTCAATTGAGCCTGAGGTACTACATGATTGCAACTCTCCAATCCACAATGGCTACAGATAATGGCGCTACGGTGCGTAGTTTGGTAGACTCCAACAAGTTAACACAACTGCCATCTACCCCGAAAGTATCCCAACAATAAAGAACTTAGAGATTGTCAAGTCCTTCTGGCTTTTGTTCTAGCACCGGCCAGTAACCAATTGATAGGACGTTTTCTTGTTTGATAGAAAACGATCGACTTGATTAATAGAGGGAGCAGAAGAGAGCAACATTACCTGAGGATCTAGCATGAACTTTACTGCTTCAACCAATTTAGTAAGTGAGAACTCCTCAACTTGAATAGGGGGTGGGCCCACTCCTCTAGCATGTACTCTTTCGCCCCAGAAGGGTTGGTCGCCAAAGAAGGGCACAATTGTAGTTGGGCACTATAACGAAGTAACAAACAAAATGAAAATTACAGAGAGTATGCTAGACGATAGAAGGCAAATACACGGAAAAAAAAAAGAGGAGGAAGTTATTTGAGCTCATACTGCAGCTTTCAGGCCAGCAGCTGTTGTCCCTGCACCTCCATGATGAACCTGAAGGCAGCCAATACTGGACATGGTGAAGGATATGCCATTTCCTCACTATTAACCAAATAAAAGAAAATTTATACAAAAACGCTCAACATTGCATCAGTTACTCGAGTCCTGTAATATAGTCTAGTCTGTCTTTATAAATCTTTTTAATGATGTATATGTATTCACGGTAGAAAGCAACGAGTATGGAAGATGGATAAAGGTGGTGGTGGTGGCTTTACTCGCAAATATAAAAGTTAACTATTTGGGCCTTACCACTGCTTTGCATTGCAGGAATAGCCAGTCATGAGGGATGTTATCCAGGAGATATATGGAGTCCTTTGGTTCTGCCACTGAGATGATTCACAAAAGTAACAACCAAGACGTAAAACACAATGCTGCTTTCTGAGAGACCAGGGAAAGACAGATTGTTTAGGGAAAAGGCATTCAATAGCAACATTAAGCTTACAATTGCCTAGGCCCCCCCAGCCTTTGTTAATGATGCCCCTCTGCCCAGTTTGTTCCAATGCCTCTACGATAATTTGCGTCATCTTCTCAGGTTCCTGAACTGGCTGAAATAGAATTCGGAAGTACTAAGAAAATTTCACAGTGAAAGGCACACATTCAAACCAAGGGGAAAACACAAAACTCAAAAGATAAACCCTTGAGTCTTGACAGAGCAAAGGATATGACGAGCAGCACATCTGGAAATCTAACCAACTGTAGTAATTTTGATAGGCAGTCCAGTAAAGATTACTCATGGATTGCAAAACAATAAAAGGAGTAAAAACGTAACCCCTCTCATCCTCCTTATCAGCACAGCCAAGTACAATAATAATTTCAAATCCAAACACCATCCACTGGATGTGGTAACTTAATCAATGAGAAAACCAGTTATAGGCTGCCACGTTTGAACCACGGATACCTAGATATATACCATGAGAGGAATTGATTTTACAGC